CGCACATCCACATACAGATCTATTGAATTGCATTCCGTGTGGTGTTGGGTCACACTTGACATGAGGAACGCTACTCAGATTCTGGTGTCAGTTCAGTTTTCAGAATTCGTGGAATACTTCTTACCTGGATTAGTGTACTATCTCATCTCAGAACTTGAATCAAAGCGGAGAGAGATGCATTTGGAATATAAACTTCTATCTACAACTAATTTGAAGAGACAGTTTTGAAGACCTACAAATGTCATTTTTCTTCTCATGGATACAGCATTCCAGACAAGTCATTAAAGGCAGCTGAGTAATAGTGTCCTTGATTTTCACAAGACAAGCATTGATTTATTCATCATCGGAGCTGAACAATTTCCAGTAGTCACCAGTTTTAGGTTTGTGTAATGGAAGCTGTGCTACTGTAAGCATTACCAGCTTGCCTGTAGTATTTATATTTAAATCCTGTCTTTTTTGCAGATTGCAGCAGACAAAGGTTCATTTCCAGAGTTTTGTTTGAATAGGACAATGTCATGCCAACAATGGGCAAAAATAGGGCTTCTAATAGAGGTCATGCCTCAAATGTCATGAGTTCAAAATCTGCCTGCAGTTTTCATTCTTGCTGCTCAGTTAGGTGGTTGCCTCTTCATCCTACTGACACAGCGGTGGGAACCTTTTTTGAGTCGGGGCCGCTGACCCACAAAAATCAGTTGGGGGTCACACGCAAGTGAGAAGCGCAAAAACCCCCACCCCAAACCAAAAAAAAAACAACCCCTCACTGACGTGGCCCCAACTGAGGAGAAGGACCCTCCCCATGTTCCCCTCACACCCCAGAGCTTGGGGGGGGGCAATAATTTTTGGCCAGGGGCCACTTCAAACATTTTTGAAGTGAGCCCAGGATGCCCCACAAGGGGCAGGGCCAGGATGATTCCAAGCTTCCCTGCCCACAGACCATGATTGGTCTGAGGGTGGTGGAGCCCCTTTGCCCCCACCCTTCTCACTAAGCACCCATGCCCCTGGCAGAGCAGGAAGAGGCTTTCCATGCTTCCCCACCCCCAGGCCAATTAGGTTCTGGGGACCGGGGAATTGCACTAAGTTCCCCCCACCCTGCCAGGAGCACGTAGCACTTTAAAGTGCTACATGCTCCTGGCAGGGTGGAGGAAACTTCGTGTGCTTCCGCTGCCCCCAGGCCTTAATTGGCCTGGGGGCGAGGGAGTGCGCAAAGGCTCCTTCCGCCCTGCCAGGACCTCGTGGCGCTTTGAAGCACCACGCACTGCTCGCAGGGTGGGGGGGAGCGAAGGAGATTTTGCGTACTCCCCTGCCCCCAGGCCAATTGGGCCTGGTGGCAGGAGAGCCG